ACGCCTTGGGGAGCTCACCCTTGGTGAAGGACACGCTTGGGGAGCTCGCAGCCGTGGCTGGTGCCAGTGTAGACGTGGAGGCCGGGTGTCGAAGCAATGTACGGGGTCAGCCCGGGCGGTACCAAGAGGTCGCGCACGGCCTGAACCTCAGAATTACCAATCACGGCACGAGCCTTGTCGGCATCAAATGCTTTGGCAATCTGACCTCGGTTCAGACGGTTCGTGACGTGGTTTGCCCAGGCTTCGTCCGCCAGGTCCGGGTCGCGGACGAGTGATCTGAGGCTCTGGTCGACTGCGTCGTTCGGGTGGGCGCCCGCGCCGGCGTTCAGCTGTCCTCGACGGCTCTGCTTGCGTGCGACTGCCTTGCGCATGGCGTCCACGACCCGACCTAGTTGCCCCGTCACAAGCCAACGGAGACGATCGTGAAACATATTGCGCAGGTCAATCGTAGACAGTGCGGTCGAGGGAGCAGACAACAACATGCTAGGCAAGGCCAAAATCAAAGCCCAGCACATCTCTCGCTCTTCAGCGGTATAGTCCGAGTGGACGGCAGACCAATACAGCTGGCTCAGGGTGGCAGCCATCAGCTTGGTCTCGGTGGCGTTGGATGGGTAGCGGCTGCGCTGCATCAGTGGATGCCGGGCGAGCTTGAGCAGCTCACAGACACTGACGCGATATTAGAGGCACAATCTGAGACGGTATACTTTACCACGTTGTGTGTCCTCTGGTACTTGATGTTGTCCCACCTTGTTGTGTAACATCTTGCTGTGCCATCTTGGTGTATCATCTTGTTGTGGCATCTGTTGGTCCCAACAGATTGCTGATATCGCCTCCACCTGTCTTCAGTGTGATAGTCCATTCTCTGTCTCCACTGTGTGTGTGTGTGTGTGTGTTTCCACCTGCTATAAATGGGAGCGATCTCCCTGGATCGGTACCATTTTCCTTCTTGACCTCGGTCGTTCCACTTCCCTCGTTCTGTCTTGTTCTGTCTTGTTCCTTCGCCTTGCTTCAATCCATGTTCTCGTGTACACTTCGACTGGTTGGATACCTCTGTGATAATCGCCTTGTCCACACACATTACACTGTACTGGACATACACCTTTAATAGGTTATGGGCCTCGGTTGTGTACTCTTCCAACCTCTCTTTCGTTACCCTGCCTTGCGCTCTCCAGCTGCTCCGTTCCCCTCCTGCTTCCTCCCTGTGTCTTCTGCTTGTATTGTGAAAACGTTTCAAAATCATCAAAACCCTCTTTGTTCTCTTTGTTTCGAGACAGTGCAAAATTGTCATACTTTTTTTGTTTGTTTGCTTGCTTCCTTGCTTGTTGTTGTACCTTTCCCCTCCCTTGATCATCGCCACCATGCCATTTAGTGTTATGCATACTCCTGTTGACCAGCGAGTCACTCGTAGCCGTGGCGCTGTGCAAAGCGCTGCTCGCGCTGCTGCCACCAGAAATTTTGAGGCTCACACCGACCTCACGCGCGACTTCCAGCACGAAGA